CTTCTACTCAACTTTGTACTGGAGGTTCTAGCAAGTGCAATTAGGTATTTAATTAAAATAAAAGGTATCCAGTTTGGAAAGGAAGAAGTAAAACTATCTCTTTGTAAATGAGCTGATTTGTAGTATATGAAAATTCTAAGGAATCTACCAATAAACAAGTTCAGCAAGTTTGAAGAATTCAAGACCAATATACAAAAATCAATTGCATTTTTTAATATACATACAATTAACAAAAATGAAAGTAAGAAAACAATTTCATTTACAAGAATATCTATAGAATAAATTTAACAAAAGAAGTGCAAAATATATACTCTGAAAGCTATAAAACATTCTCAAAAGAAATTAAAGAAGGTGTAAATAATTGGGAAAACATCCTTGTTTATGGATTGGTAGGTTTAATATTGTTTAGATGGCACTACTCCCCAAATTGATCTATAGATTCAACACAATTCCTATCAGAATCCTAGCTGAAATTTGTAGCTAAAATTGTAGAAATTTATTTGTAGAAATTTATAAGCAGATTCTATAACTCATACAAAAATTTAAAAGATCCAGGAGAACCAAAACATTCTTGAAAAAGGACAAAGTTGGAGGACTCACCACTTGTTGATTTCAAAACTTACTACAAAGCAACAGTAATCAAGAAAGTGTGGTACTGGCATGAGATAGACATGTAAATTAAAGGAATGGAATTGAGAGTCCAGAAATGAGCTCATGTGCCTATGATCAACTGATTTTCAACAAGCGTGCCAAGACCAATGTGGGAAAGAATAGTCTTTTCAACAAATCGTGCTGGAACAACTAGATAGGCACATTCAAAAGAATGAAATTGGATCCTTACCTCATACTACTTATAGAATTAACTCAAAAGTTATCAAAAACCTAAATGTAAAAGCTAAACCAACACAACTCTTAGAAGAAAACAGGAGTAAATTATCATGAGCTTGAGTTTGGCAAAGAATGCTTAGGTCTGACACCAAATGCAAGAGCAACAAAAGAAAAAACAGATAATTTGGATTTCATTAAAATTAAAATCTTTTGTGTTTTAAAGAACACTGTTGGGGACTTCTCTGGTGACGCAGTGGTTAAAAATCCGCTTGCCAATGCAGGGGCCCTGGTTAGAGCCCTGGTCCGGGAAGATCCCACATGCCGTGGAGCAACTAAGCCCGTGTGCCATAACTACTGAAGCCCATGTGCCTAGAGCCCGTGCTCCACAACAAAGAGAAGCCACTGCAATGAGAAGCCCGTGCACTGCAACGAAGAGTAGCCTCTGCTCGCGGCAACTAGAGAAAGCCGGCGCGCAGCAACAAAAACCCAATGCAGCCAAAAATTAATTAATTAATTAATTTTAAAAAAAGAACACTCTCAAGAAGTGCAAAGACAACCACAAAATGGGAGAAAATATTTGCAAATCATATATCTGATAAGTTACCTGTATCCAGAATATGCAAAAACTACAACTCAATAATGAAAAGACAACTAACCCGGGCTTCCCTGGTGGCGCAGTGGTTGGGAGTCCTCCTGCCCATGCAGGGGACATGGGTTCGTGCCCCGGTGCGTGCTGCGGAGCGGCTGGGCCCGTGAGCCATGGCCGCTGAGCCTGCGCGTCCGGAGCCTGTGCTCCGCAACGGGAGAGGCCACAACAGTGAGAGGCCCGCGTACGGCAAA